TTGGGTAGCCAGCGCCTGACCAAGGCCTTTGGCTCCTTTGGCTTTGCCATATGAGGCACCATGTGATTGGAGTAAGGGATTTATTGAGCCATGGGGGGACACCTTGGCCAGGAACACTTGAGGTGCGGTAACGTCGGCAGCCCATGTGCTGGTAGTGAGGTAAGAGTAGAAAGCGATTCTATTCAGTCGGACCTGAAAGAATTCCGGTGGTACCTGAGGGAGGAAATAAAATTACCAGATGGGAGAGGAAAGTGAGAAGGAAAAAAGGAGAATAGTTGTCGAAACTGTGTGTTAACCTTTCTGTGGGAAACTCCAGACATGGGGCAGAAAAACGGAAGGCTTGTTAGAAAGAGTCTTGATGACGAGGGTGGGACTCGAACCCACGCATACAGAATACAACGGATTAGTAGTCCATCGCCTTAACCACTCGGCCACCTTGTCCCACGGAAGTAAGAACTTTGGGGATACCCATTTAAGTCTTATCTTTGGTGAAGTCTTGCACTTTGACTTCAGTAATATGTGTAGTATTTTCCTTTAAACTACAGTCACCCTAAAAATTTCTAAACACCAAGGTAAAGTGTTCGGATCCCTCCCCATACCGGCCAAAAAAGAAAAGAAAAGCTCACACAAAACAAGTTTTTTCCACTCTGGGGCTGGAGAGCTTCACAGTTTGATAATCCTACCCTGACCGGCCAGTATCTGCACTGAATAGTCATCTTTCCTCAGTGCCCACACTCATTTTCCAGCCACTGTGAAATTGTTTCTGTTTTCCTCAAGCTCCATGCTGTCCTCATTTTCTACCCACAACATGTTTAGCCCTCCCCCTGTCCTCAATTCACCTGCCTTAGTTCTCCATTCATTCCTCAGATCTCAACTTACTCTTTACAGCACTTCTTATTGAGGCTAAACAGCTAAAATAATTTTTTTTTTTTAAAAAAAAGCGAGAATCCTCTTTCTCTAGCAAATGTATTTCCATTCTATACCTGCCACAAAATTTTATCTCAATATTATGTATTTTTATGCTCAATGACTCTATCATGCCACACTGCCACAGAAGATGCTTATATAAATTGAAATCTGATTTTTAGTTATTTCCAGTGACCGTAAATCTCGAAGTGTTTTAAGCTTTTTTCTTCTGGTTTGAATTGCGTTTACATTTAATGGTAGCACACAATAAAAGACATATAGAGGCAATTTTGATAAGTAGCTTCTTACATATTAAAAGTAAAGTTGCATCGGAATTGCATCTTTTAGTGAAAGGGATGGAGATTTTTTCCCCCGTCAGTTCACGCGTCCGTGTAATGAAAACTTCATATCGTTGAAATAAGACGGGATTTGGTGGAAATTAACAGCAAAAAGACCAATACTTTGTGATTTTTTAATAAGTCTGGAGCTTACAAAAGGTGTTGCGATAATAAAAGTGACAGCAAGCAGAGTTGCGACCACGTAAAAAATATAATTTTACAAAATACATTTTTTACATTTAATATTACAATATACATATTCTTTGACAAAAGTGACTTTTTTACGGGTCTGAATAAGTGTAAAAAAAATTCAAACGTTAACTTTCCGTGATATATAACCGTTCCCTTTCGTCGAAAGTGTAATATTATTAATTGGAAGTAAATGAGGAATTTGTCACCTCTTCCATGAAATCAGGGGAAATTCGCCGCTGAGACACAGCTCTGCTTCTTGTTTACAGGAGAGTTGGGAGACACCAGTATTTCCAGTCGTGCTTTTCTGCCCCGGTAAGGTGTTGTGTAAAAAGTGCAAGTGATTTGCAAAAGAAGGCAGAAGCAGAGAGCATTCACAGCCCACAGGGAGCTGGGGCGCGGTGCGGTAGACACGTTCTGGGAAGATGTTTCGCTGCAGCCTCACGGATCTCGTGGTCGCCAGCTCTGCAACGCTGCCGCTGAGCTGTGCTGGGGCCCCAGGCGCTCGCTTCTCTGAGCTTTTTCCTGTCTACATTCCCTCCCTTCTCGCCTTGCCCGCCGCTTCCCTCTTTCATCCCCGCCTCTCCAAAACCAAACCACCCCGGCAATTTCCGAGCGACTGCACTTTTCCAATCTGCCTAAGACAGTCCGGGCTCTGAAACCCCCTCTTCAGGAGCCAGTCTGGTCCCAGACAAGGAACTGCGGAGAAAGCCGAGGAGCTGCGCGCGGTGCAAAGCCCTCAGGGAACCCTAGCTAAAGAAAAGGTCGGGATGACATGGAGTTAAACTCCGCTGTCCTGGAGAAGGCAGGCTATTTAGCTCATTTCCCCGCTTCTGCGTCCAAATAAATCTTGCTCCTGTGTATTAGTCTGTTTTTGTTGCTTATAACAAAATACGTGGAGCTTGGGTAATTTATAAGAAAATGAAATTTATTGCTTACGGTTTCTGAAGCTGGGAGGTCCAAAGTCCATCTGGTGGTAGTGACAATGACCCAAGGGTCTCACATTGCAAGACGGTGGAAGCAGAGAGAAAGACAGACAGACTCTCCTCTTTTAAAGACCACAGAACCACACCCCTGACCACCATTTTTAATCTATTCACTACCACATGGTCCTACAATCCAATCTCCTCTTAAGGCTCCACCTTTCAATGACCATAATAGGATTTCCCACCCTCTTAACAGTCACAGTGGGGGCCAAGTTTCTAATACATAAAACTTGGGGGACACAATTCAAGATTCAGAGAGTTTTGCGGGGACATAATTCAATCCAGTACACTCGTGCAAACTCGAAGCAGCACCTATCTCTACTGACTATTGACTATCACCGGTTGTATCTTCCTGGCCATCTGTTCTATCAGCTCAGCCCTCAGAAGCTGAGCTTCGATCCCATTGTGTTCTTGTCTGAGGACAGTTTTCTCTCACCTTCGGCCACTGTCGGCCCTCCCTCATTACCTGAGAAAATCCTTTTCTCAATTTCCATGCCAACTTTTCTCAGTCCATGACTATGACCAACTTTCTTTCTTCTCTTCCCACCAGCTGCCTACCTCCTGTCTCCTCAGTTGTTTATGGATCTTCTCTAGAGATTTTGATTGCCAGTTCCAGCAAGACTCAAGCAACTTCCTCATGATTTTCTTTTGAGATTTCTGCTTTTTCTGTCCAAGAAGCAAATTGTGCACAGGAAGAATATATTGGTCCCTTGGTTGGAGACTGAAGATAAGCGGTTCAACAGATGTGATGTGGGAATATCAGGAAGAAATTAGACGCAGTGATTTGTTTGAGCCAGAGAGGATGGATTGTGGAGAGGGGCGGGGATCAAATGGATAAAGGGAAAGCCCCGAGGTCCCATCGAGATTAGAACTGGGACCACCGGATTCAGAGTCCAGAGTGCTAACCATTGCACAATGGAATCCACCCCTTCCAAAGGCTTTCCTAAAATCTTGGATGAGCTACTTCTGTCTCCTCAGACTCCCTATGTCTGGTTATTTGAGAGGTGAGCACATTCTGGTTTTCCTCTTCTAGGATTAAGTCATGGACGTTTATCTGTCACATGCTTACACCCAACACCTTTCACACTAGAGTCTTCATGGAAAACGCTGGACTCTTCCTCTCCACCTACCCCAACTTTTCCTCCCAAGTCGTTCAGGAACTTGGTGCCCCCGGACCTCTATTTCTTCACTGGAAAACAAGCAAGGTTGTTGAACAAGACTGAATCCTTACCGTGTGCCAGGTTTTCTGACAAGTGTTTTCTACTGTTACCTCACCTAGGGCTCACAACCACACCGTGAGATGATAACCAGTATCTCTATTTTTTCAGGTGAGGAAACTGAGTCAAAGACCTGAGATCCTTTACTTTTCT